AGGTAATGTGATAATGACCTGACGGTGTGTTTTTTTTCTTGTGAAGTTGACTGAGGGATAAATATTGGCCAGGACACCAAGGATAAGTCCCTTCTCTTCTTCAAAATACAACGGAGGGGATTGCTCCCTCAACTTCATCTTTCGCAGTGTGCCAACCTTCAAAGTCCATGCACAGCATTGACTGAGACAATGTGTCAGCATGCCAATGATGCAGAACCTCAGAGCAGTGGCACAGCTAAGAGGGAATGATGGCCATGGAAGTTCCTACATTCACCTGAGCAGGAAGATGGGACCTCAGTGTTAATGTCTTATCTGGAAGACAACGCCTCTAGCTGATGGCACCTTCAGCAGTGAAGCACACCTGAGGCACTGTACCAGAGTGACAGCCTTCAAATGTTTGCAAGCAATCCCTGGAAGTGAGACTTTTGAGGCTGGAGACTCAGAGGCTGAGAAACAGCTGACACTTAAACTACAAAGGTGGAGCAGTGATGAGGGATTGGCAAGGGTGTGGGGAGGGAATGGGTCACAGTTATGGAGTTTGGAATCATAGGGCACAAAACTCACAAGTAAAAAAAAACTCAGCAGGTCTGGCAGCATCTGTGGAGAGAAAGCAGTGATCCTTCTTCAGGACTAGACCCAAAATGTTAACTCTGCTTTCTCTCCACAGATGCAGCCAGACCTGCTGAATCTTCCCAGCAATTTCTATTTTCGTTTCTGATTTCTGGCATCTGCAGTTACTTGGGTTCTTTTTCACAAACTCAGATACTGGTTTAAGAACTGGAAGAGGCTTCTAGGCTAAAGTCATAGATAAACATACAGACAGTGATGAGAATTCTGGCTGTGATGTAAAACATAGAACTCATACAGTGTGGATGCAGGCCATTTGGCCCATCGAGTCTAAGCTGACTTTCTGAAAAGCATCATTCCAACCCCATCCCCATCCATGTAACTCTGCATATTCCATGGCTAACCCACACATCCCTGGACACTATGGGCAGTTTCCCATGGCCAATCCAGCTGACCTGCACATCTTCAGATTATGGGAAGAAACCCACGCAGACACAGGGAGAATGTGCAAACTCCACACGGACAGTCGCCCGAGGGTGGAAATCAAACCCAGATCCCTAGTGCTGTGAGACAGCAGTGCTAACCACTGAGCCACCATGCCTCCTGTGTGCTGGGAACAGAAAGCCAAATGAAAATTGGCATGAACAGGGTTGAAACTGAGCAATGGGATGGTATGTGAACACAGAAACTTGGATTAATTGGGGCCCCATGAAACTACTCAAAATGCTGCTGGAATAATGATCTGGGAATAGCAAGTGCTTAAAGAGGGTGCATCAGCCTGGGTTTGTTGTAAGGGATGTTGGAGGTAAATGGTCACAGTAGTGAATGGTACGAGGCTCAGTTTATACCCCAGTATCAAAAACAAAATACTGCGGATGCTGGAAATCTGAAACTAACACAGAGAATGCTAGGGAAACTCAGCAGGTCTGGCAAACAGTTTCTGTGGAGACAGCAACAGAGTTAATGTTTTGAGTCTGATATGACTCTTCTTCAGTAAAATATTCAGTTCAAGCTCAACAAGAAGGAAATGGATGGAGTGGGGAATACGAGAAGGACACGGATTGGGAGCCGAGGTGACCATTTCCAAAAGAGGATTCATCGTTGCTAAGGATATGCTGGCCGAGCTGAGATAGATAGGAATAAGAAAGACTCACATTTTTATAGTGCCTTTCGGTTTATCCCTTCAAAATCATCAGCCCAGGTCTTCCCCAAGAATAGCAATCATCATCAGATTGCAGCTGAGTACCTTTTCTGCAGTTGATGCAAACCCACATTAATGGCCGGGATCTTCTAAATGTGGGGTTCACAGTTCCACTAAGAACTTCATTGTAATGGATATCCATTTATCAGTTAGACAGTAAAGCCACAGCCCTTCCTGTGATATTGCTGCCATGGGGCAAGTCTGAATGTCCAGTGGGAATGTTAATGTGAATGCACAAAAGCTTAAACACACGTGCTAACAAGTTTAAGAACAGCTTCTTCCCTGCTGTTATTAGACTTCTGAATAGACCCCTCAAATTTCAAATCCAATGTTGATCTTGCTTTTTGTGCACCTCCTTTGTATTCCTCGCTCCGCTCAATCACCCTACGATCTTTGTGTCTTTGTATGTTACGATCTGCCTGTACTGCATGCAGAACAAAACTTTTCACTGTACTTGGGTACATGTGACAATAATAAGTCAAATCAATGGGTGAATGGGTGTGGTGCCCAAGTGGTACATATCAGCTCAGTGGGATAGGGTGACGTAGTCAGGTTGTGTTGAAGGGTGGTTGTCAGTCAGGGCATGTCAGAGGGTACTCAGATCATGTAGGGTGGCATAGTTAAGTCAACCTGAGGGGGTGTATCCGTGTCAAGTCAAGTTTGGGGCTAGGATTCAGAGAATGTTGGGATAAGTCCAGCAAGCGGGGTCCACATAATTGATTTGGAGGGACAACGGTGGTCATTTCTGTCGTTATCCAACAGTTTGACTTGGATTTTTCTGTCCAGTATTTCCTGGGTAGCTATTCAAGCGGGTAGCTATTCAAGCAAATAGCCCTTAACTGTCTGAAGTCAAACTCAGGACACGTTGGACACGTTTTCAGGAGGTCCTTGGAAACATGACAGTTCCCCCAGAAGTCAGCATGTCAAGACTCTTATGGGCTCCCAATGTGCACTTTGGGCTGTACATCTTACCTGAAGACTAGAAGGTGTGGGCCACTAATGTATCTTTGAACATGTGTAACGTAGGGAGTGCTGCAGGCAATTTACACACAGGTCTGAAGGTCCAAGACTTTACAGCAGTCATCTAAAGAGCAGGCAAGTTCTTCCTAGTGTCCAGGGCAGTGGTCAGTTATAGAGTCATAGAGTCTTACACCAGAGAAACAGGCCCTTCACCACAACTCGTCCATGCCAACCAGGTTTCCTCAACTGAACTAGTCCCATCTGCCTGCATTTGGCCCATATCCCTCTAAACCTTTCCTATCCATGTAGCTGTACAAGTGTCTTTTAAATTTTGTAATTGTACTAACCTCCACCACTTCCTCTGGCAGCTCATTCCATATATGAACCACCCTCTGTGTGAAAAAGTTGCCTCTCAGGTCCCTTTTAAATCTTTCCCCTCTCACCTAAAACCTATGCTCCCGAATTTTGAACTTCCCCACCTTAGGGAAAAGACCTTGGCTATTCACCTTAACTATGCCCCTCATTATTTTATAAACCTCAGTGAAGTCACTGCTGAGCCTCCTATGCTCAAGGAGAAAATGTGTCAGCCTCTCCAGCCTCTCCTTATAACTCAAGCCTTCCAGTCTCAGTAACATCCTTGCAAATCATTTTCTGCACCCTTTCCAATTTAATAACATCCTTCCTATAGCAGTACAACCAGAATTGTACGTAGTGCTCCAAACATGACCTTACCAATGTCTCGTATAGCCACAACATGATGTCCCAACTCCTGAACTCAATGCTCTGATCGATGAAAGCCAGTATGCCAAACACTTTCTTCACCAATTTCAAGGAACTGTGCACCTGCAATTTTAGGTGTCTATGTTGACAACACTCCCCAGACATCTACTGTTAACCGTGTTAAGTCCTGCCCTGGCTTACCTTACCAAAATGCAACACCTCACATTTATCTGAATTAAGCTCTACATGCCACTCCTTGGCCCGTTGACCCAGCTGATCAAGATCCCATTACACTCTTAGATCACCCTAGTTGGTCACATTCTCATCTCTGACTAGGTTCCAGTGCCTCTCCAGGGCTTCAGGGTATAAAGACCAAAGCTGACTCTCCAGTGCAGTAGTGAGGGAGCACTGTACTGCCTGAGGCAAGGTTCTCCATCATTATTTTTTCTGTTGCATGGAGCTCCCAGGGCCCATGCTTGTGAAAAGAACCCATGAACAACATTGGGGGAGCGTTCGTAAGAGGTATCACCTTACAGATGAGGCGTTAAAATGATCTGCCTGTTCATATGGATGTAAAACAGCACATGGCACACTTCCGAAGAGGAATGTTGTCCAGTGTCTTGCCAATAGCTATTGTTCAATCAACATCACAAAGAAAGAGATCATTATCACATTGTTAACCTCATCCAGCATGTAAGAAAAAGGCTACAGTGGACACTTGTGGCACAGTGGTAGTGTCCCTACCTCTAAGCTGGAGGAGGGGGCGTGTGGGGAACCTTGTTCGAGTCCCACCTGCTCCAGAACTGTGTCATAAGATATCTCAATAGGTTGATTTGGAAATACCTCTTTAAAAAGGCTGTATGTCATAGGAATCCCAGCTCTAAGGTGACACCAGGAGCCAAAAAGCAAATTATCTGCTCATGATCACATTGCTGTTTGTGGGATCTTGCTACGCATAAATTGGCTGCTCTGGTTCCCGCACTGAAAACAGTGACTACACTTCAAAATGACTTTATTCCCGGTTTTAAATCCCACCATTACAGATGTTGAAATTCAAATTCAATAAAATATGATATAAGGAGTTGGTTTAATTATGACCATGCAGCCATTGTTGTAAAAACCCATCAGGTTCGCTAACAAAAACAGAAATTGCTGGAAAAGCTCAGCAGGTCTGGCAGCATCTGTGGAGAGAAATCAGAGTTAACATTTCGGGTTGGGTGACCCTTCCTCAGAACTCACTAATGATTCACTAATGTCCTTCAGGGAAGGATAGCTGCCATCCTTAACTGGGTCTGGCCTACATGTGACACCTGACCCACAGCAATGTAGTTGACTCATAACTGCCCTCTGGGCAATTAGGGATGGGCAATAAATGCTGGCTTACCCAGTGATGCCCACATCCCATGAACACATAAAAGAAAAAGTATTTGAGATGCCCATATGGACATGAAAGGCGCTTTATAACTGTGTATTTCTTTCTTATTGCTCCCACTTACCTGCAATATCCCTTTGCCAATAACTATCTGAAATATTTCCTGCTTTCTTGTTCCAGCGGAGGAGTCGGTGGCATGTGAGAACCCTGGACTACCTGAAAATGGTTACCAGATTCTCTATAAGCGGTTGTACCTGCCGGGGGAGACACTGACATTTATGTGTTACGAAGGGTTTGAGCTGGTCGGGGAGGTCACCATCCGATGCATCATAGCTCACCCATCTCACTGGAGTGGGCCACTGCCTCTGTGTAAAGGTAAGGCCTTGGTCCATATGACAATCAGAGTGCCACGTACTGCAAAAGAAACCAGGATTCAGGCTGGTGGCTCACAGCATTGTTGGCAATCCTCCCAAGAGTCTTGGATTAGCAAGAAAGAGAGAACAGATCATTGAGGAGACTTGTCTGTCATTTCTACGGTCCAGACATTGCACCAGACAATTGGCAGTCTAGCAAAAGCTCCACATTGTATTGTGTTAGACAATGCTTCTCAAACTTTACCAGTGTGACCCCACATCGAGCCATGTCATGACCCCACTGTGTGAGAGCAGAGGGGTGGCAGATAAACTGGCTGAGAGAGCACATGGGACATTTAGCCAAGGTTTAAGAGTTTAAGAGCGGGGAGGTTATGCTGGAATTGTATAAACCATTGGTTAGACCACAACTAGAGTATTGTGTGCAGTTCCATATTACAGGAAGGATGTGATAGAACTAGAGACAGTGCAGAGGAGATTTACCAGGATATTGCCTGGACTGGAGAGTTTCACTTATGAAGAGAGATTGGACAGACTGGGATTTTCCTTGGAACAGAGGAGACTGAGGAGACACACAATTGAGAGGTATACAATTATGAAGGACATAGACAGGGTACATATGAAGGAACTTTTCCCCTTGATGGAGGGATCAGTGACCAGGGGCATAGATTTAAGTTAAGAGGCAAGAGGTTAAGGGGATATGAGGAAATTCCCATCCAAGAGAGGTGGGAATTTGGAACTCACTTCCTGTAAGGATGGTAGAGGCAGAAACCCTCTTAACATTTAAAAAGGATTGAAATGTGCACTTGCAATGCCAAGGCCTACAAGGCAATGGGCCAAATGCTCGAAAATGGAATCAGAATATGGAAAAATGGGATCGGGTGATTGTTTTTGACTGGTGCAGACTTGATGGGCCAAAGGGCCTTTTTCTGTGCCATAAACCTCAATGACCCTATGACATGGTACCAAGGGCCTGTTCGAGCAGAAACACAGCTGTTATAAACTGTGCGGTCGGATCTCCATTACGGCCATTGCTGCCTTAGAGCTCAGGATCCCGAAATTTCAGCTTGCAACACCCCTGAACCACAGGCCATACCCCACACTCCACTCCTCCTCCTCTCTCCCTCCATCATCCAGCACCACTCCCACCCCCAACCCATGACCCCCACCCCACCTTGGGGGAAACGGTCCTCGTCTGAGGTGTAGTGACCCTCAGGCTAAAGTCGTCTCTCATTAATGGGCAGGCAGCCCTCTGCAAAAATACTGTCTGCCAGTCAAAAACCTTTGTCATCTTTCTCTCCTGACACTCTACCATTTTCTGCAGGTCCATTGAAATTTGACCACCTTGGTAGATTTTCTGCCCTCTACATTGGCAAGATGAGTTCATGGAGAAATCATGTTGTACTGTACTACCTGGCAATGGAAACAATGATTGTGAAAGATTATTGGTGAAGGTGGTTTAGATCTCCCTGCCTTTCATGGTTCCTGCATCAAATCTTTGAATACATATTGCCAAACATTTGAACAATACAAAACACAATCTTCTTTGTTTTTGTGTTCCTTAGCAATCAGACAATTGATTTGTTTTGTGTTTTGCTCGGATCTACTCAAGGCCCTGTTGACTGGGTTTGTATAGGAAAGCCTGGGGTACTTGAAGAGCGAATGGTTTATTTGCATAACATTGTGCTGTGACACCTACTCACTGGATTGATCTGGCCAGTATGTATCCTTACAAAGAATCATACAAACTGTTCAACGATTTTCATTTTCAAAAAAATCACTTTCTTGTTTTTATTTCCAGCCACACAGTATGGCTTTGAACACTCATTGGAAGGTAAGTTAGAAGCAATGCTTTAGTTGTGACTGTGGGCTGACCATAAGAAGATTTAATAACTAGCTGGGTATTAATGTCAAATGTCACTGGCTTTAGTGATGACAATATAACTATTTTATTCTAATAAGGAATGTCTTTCTTTTATGCTGTTCTGGATTTTTTGTAAAGAGTTTTAGACAGTATGTTATATTAAACAAGTTCTGACTCTTGATTAAATAATTTTTCTTACTTTTATGGCATCCAATGTCAGTATTAAGCTCTCTCCCATGCCAAGTGTAGCTATGTTTGATGTGAAGTATTATCCCCTCAATAATATCCATTTAGATTCACGCCAGAAACATACAGTGCAGTTTGGATGCTAAAGGTTCCATCAAACACTTGCTGGTTGAGGACATTATGCGTGTTACACAGAATATCGTTCACCCTCCGCATTATTAATCCCAATGTTCACATCCAGCTCTTCAAGGAAGGTACAGCATGAAAAGTATGTACCTTCTGGTTTGTCTTTTCAAACTATGTCCTATCAAACTTTCGTAGGCCAGATATAACATTCATGGGTTGAGGGCTTTGCTGGCAATGCCAGCATTTATTGCCCATCCCACAGGGCAGTTAAGGGCCAACCATATTGCTGTAGGTCCGCAGTCACATACAGTCCAGACTAGGTAAAGATGGCAGTTTCCTTCTGTAAAGGACATTAGTGAACCAGATGAGTTTTTCTAACAATCGACAATGGATTATGGTCATCATCAGACTCTTAATTCCAGATTTTGATTGAATTCAAATGCCACCATTGGCTGTGGATTCAAAGCCAAGTCTCCAGAACTTTAGAGATAACAAGGTGTAGAGCTGGATGAACACAGCAGGCCAAGCAGCATCAGAGGAGCAGGAAGGCTGACGTTTCGGGCCTAGACCTGCGTCTCTGGATTAACAGTGCAGCAATAATACCAGTAGGCCATCGCCTCCTGGCTGATTGACTCTTTTCCCTCAATCCCAAGACAAGCAAAACCAGGCATGGTATAAAGTAAGGCAATTCTGTTCACCTTATTTCTGCCACCATCTACAACTAAAATCAGAACTTCTATGCAAAGATAGCAAAGAAGTCTGAAGAGAAGAGTACTTCATTGATGCTGTTAAAATCATCACAGAGCCAGTTCCTTTTCATTAAGAAGTGGTCTGCACATGACCCAGTCAGTTTCCCTTGAACTGAGAAGTGTCAAACTCATCATATCACACTCACAAAGAGTGGGCAGCTGTCCAATATACCATAGGCTTGGTTGGCACCACCAAAGATATATGATCCAGCAGGAGTCAGTGCTTTCAAGGAAAGACAGGCGAAATATTGGCGGGGGAAGGGAAGGTGTGGAGATGAAAATCGTTAACCAATTAAGGGAGCTTTGAAATAATAAAGTCACTTCTCAGTTGCTTTGCCTCCAGTAGCAGAAACAGCTGTGGAGACAACAATGGAAGGCGGAAATATGGCTCTGGCCATATTCATTCCTATCCTCATCATCTCTATACTGCTGGGAAGCGCCTATATATATGTCACCAGGTAAGCAAGCAGTAACTCTTTGTGCTCCTCTGAGTATTCAAAGATTTGATATGATGGTGCAATCTCACCAAGTCATAGAGTCACAGAGATGTACAGCATGGAAACAGATGCTTCAGTCAACTTCGTCCATGACAACCAGATATCCTAAATTAATCTAGTCCCATTTGCCAGCACTTGGCCCATATCCCTCTAAACTCTTCCTATTCATATACCCATCCAAATGCCTTTTAAATGTTGTAATTGTACCAGCCTCCACCACTTCCTCTGGCAGCTCATTCCATGCACACACCACCCTCTGTGTGGAAAAAGTTGGCCTTTGGGTCCCTTTCCCCTCTCACCTTAAACCCATGCCCTCTAGTTTTGGATTCCCCTACCCTGGGAGAAAGACCTTGGCTATCCACCCTATCCAAGCCTCTCATTATTTTATAAACCTCTATAAGGTCACTCCTCAGCCTCTGATGCTCCAGGGAAAATAGCCTCAACCTATTCAGCCTCTCACTATAGCTCAATACCTCCAACCCTGGCATCATCCTTGTAAATCTTTTCTGAACCCTTTCAAGTTTCACACCATCTTTCCCATAGCAAGGAGACCAGAATTGAACACAGTATTCCAGCAGTGGCCTAACCAATGTCCTGGACAGCCGCAACATGACCTCCCAACTCCTATACTCAATGCGCTGACCAATAAAGGCAAGTGTACCAAATGCCTTCTTCACTACCCTGTCTACCTGTGTCTTCACTTTCAAGGAGCTATGAACCTGCAGCCCTCCCAAAATCATGACTGAGATGGGCAAGGGCAACATGTGAATGGATACACCAAGCACAGCCGCACAATGTCCATATTCCACTCCAAATGACACACAATCTTAACTTGGACATAAACACCATCCTTCGATCTACAGGGCTAGCACTTTCACCACTTGGATCATAGCTATTTGAGAAGGCATCCCGTTACTACCTTCTGAGGGGCAACTAAGGATGGGCACAGATACCCATATCCTGAGACTGAACACATTATTTTTAATGAAGCTTTTAACTATCTAATTTCAATGATAATCTACTTATCATTTTGGGTTGCAATTATAATTTATTTTGGGGATTTTTTTTTGTTTTTGCACTTAAATAAGGTGAAAGATGTTTTCTATGCTGTGACATCTGTGCCAGTTATCAACTCCATAGAAAATACAGTATGGTTAACAGGTGTCGTATGTGTCAGTAAATGTGCCATACTTACACCCTGGGGAAGATTGCATAGCAGGCAAAGCCTAATGCTCAAATAGCAAAGGTCATGTCTAGTGTTATTGCAATTACTGCCTCCTCAATTTTCCTTTGTATCATTTCCTTTGTATTATTCCAGGTGCCGATATCACTCAAACCTGCGTCTGCCCCTCATGTCTTCTCATCCATACAGTCAGATCACCGTAGAAACAGCGTTTGACAATCCCATCTACGAGACAGGCGTATGTCACTGGTTTTCTAACATTCGCAGTGTCGGAGCGGGTTAGGTGTAGATGTATTTGTATGTATGTGTCCATGTATTTAAAGTGGAGTGGAAGGGGGAGCATGGAACCCTTAAAAATGGCTAAATATTTCTCGATTCTGAGGGAGCTGAGTGCAACCATTAGCACATGTCAATGTCAGGTTCAAATGTGGCGACAATGCGAAACAAAAGGAATTAAACCGAAAGAACTGCGGATGCTGGAAATAAGAAACTGAAACAAAAATTTGCTGAACAAGCTCAGCAGGTCTGGCAGCATCTCGAGAGAGAGAATTCAGAGTTAACATGTCAGGTCCAGTTCTGAAGAACAGTCAGTGGACCCGACACTCTGATTTGTCTCTACAGAACCTGCCAGACCTGCTGAGCTTTTCTAGCAAAAAGGATAGTGTGTTTACAACCCTTTTTGCAACAAGTCTTTACATGGTCCAAGATACCAGTCAGTTATGTGTGGTTGAGAAAAGCTCAAAAGATTCTGCCTAGAAACTTTACAGAGGCCATGGGGCGGATAATGGGTTCGTTCAGGAGAAGATACTGTAATATGAGATATTTCCTCACTTCTCCACCAATATTTCACTGGGAATTTCAATGAAAGTTTGCCAACGTTTACAGAGAGGGGTCAGATTACTTATTCAGGTGAAGGATGACAATTTTGGTGTTGCTATAAGTTGACAGGTATTTTCAATCATCAGGACAAACTCAAGCATGTTGAATTTCAACCCATAGCAACAATTTATGCTACAGGAGAAAAGGGTGCTGATTGGTCGTCAAGTTGACATTGATTGGTTGAGGTGTTGCCATAGAGAAAACTACTCAGAACAACAGGCTCCCCAACCTCTTAGGTTATAAGACTTTCATTCTCAGCAGTTAAATAGAACTCATTTTCTGGTAGCGAATTGTAAAGTCCAATAAAGTCTGACATCCAATCTCTGCTTTGAGTTAGTTCAAGTGGCCAAAACAACTTCAACAATTAACCACTGTATTCTTGGGCTAGAGACAGGCGTCAGATTAGTCAGGGATCCAGCCCCTGATCAATATACAGCAGTCCCACCCTGAACAGCACTCATGTTGTAAACACTGACAGAATAGAACTGCGGCTGACCACATTGGATCCCAAATTGAACAGATCGTCAGGTTCTGTTTGATTAGGTTCGCACATGATGAATGCCACTTGCCCACGACAGCAGTCAGCATCAAGGTGAAGAAGCCCCATGAAAAACTACTGCAGCACAGAAGGAGGCCATACAGCCCATTGTGCTTGTGACAGTTCTTTGAAAGAGAATCTTTCATTCTCCTTCCTTTCCCCGGTATCCCTGCAGATTTCACCCCTTCTAGTATTTATCCAACATTGGAAATTATCAATGATTCTGATTCCACCACGCTTTTGGATAGAGCATTCAGTTATAACTCACTTTATATTTAAAATATCCCTTTGTCTCAAGGTGTTTTGCTAGTTGCTTTAATGATGCTTTTCTTAGGAGATGCCAATGTCAATGCTGCGCCTTTCCTCTTCTGTTTGATTTCAGGATACCAGGGAATACGAAGTTTCCATATGAATAACCCCACGGAAGGGGCAGAAAGAATGAGATTCCTGCAATCAGCCAGAGTCTTCCCAGTGCACACCCCAGAGAATGATGCTCCTCTCTGCTTTCTGATCCAAAACAGAAGTTACTGACATTCCAGACTCAGCACTCTCCATAAATGTATCGCACCCAGCCGTGTTTACTGAAAAGGGATCCTGACAGCTCAATGTGAGAAAAGCCCCCTCAAATTCTCCAAAAATACATTGTTGAATTATTTAGGTAACATCAGAATTTTTAATAAGAAGGAGAAATGGAGTATTTGAAGGAGACCAAAACAGAATTTCGGCCAAAGCAATTTCACAATGTCTACATTTTGTTCTGAAGAAGTACGTTATGTGATTTTCAAAGAAATATTCCTTGAGGCTCCTGTGTGCTTGCTGACTGGAAAAAGCTACACTCTGTCCCAGAGAAGCTCAGCTAACTCTAACAGAGCATAATTGCAAGAGTTACTGTTCCGAGCAGTCCTTTGCAAATTATCACCCTGGTACGATACACATGTGGAAGTAGACACCCTCCAGCTTTAACATTACCGCCATAGCCAGGAGCAAAGAGGATCCAAAGTGACAGTACCTTCCATTGAGCATGAAGTTAGAGAATGTCACATTTTCTTTGAAAAATATAACCTCAAGGAATATTTTTTGCAACTCTTTTTCGACATTGGTCCAGCACTTTGAACAAAAAGTATTCCATTTCTTTTAAGTCTCTGGTAAAGACGGGCCTTTCAATGGGCGATTTGCTTGACAATTCTTTTCTAGATGTCCCCTTTTTGCCTAACTGTACACAATCCCGTGTACGCACTTTCCCTGTAAATATGTATATGCAGGCACATACATGTGTATACATGCATGTACTGTATGTCTGTGTATATTCATTAAACAGCATACATGTGTGATGTGCATCTGTGCATGTATATCCTTACTGTACATCTGCAGAATTCATGCATACTTGTGCTAACAAACACATTTTGTATTGGTGCATCTGTTTACATATACCTTCCTCATGTAAGCAAAATGCATTACACCAGCACACCCGCATTGTGCAGCATTTTCTGCATTTACCTCTTGCTAATTATGTATGAAGTGTTTTATTCTGTTGGTAAAGTTGCACAGGAGAATTCTACTTTAGTTGCACTAGTCATTGTGATCAGTCACAAAATGTAGAAATATTTCTCCCTGTGCTCCAGACGTATAATATTTAAGTGGCAAATATTTCAGAACAGCAAAGGCTCTGCCAAATAATGAAGCAAATTTAAACAGTGAGTAGCTTAAGCTATTTGTTTCAGGAGTCTGGGGTTTTGATTCTCAGTTTGTACTGTGTTAGCTGATCTCAGTGTGAGTGAGAGGTACTAATATTGTTTTCATTTTCCTCTTAGTTAGCAAGTGGAGTTGGAGGGGATTGGTTGGGGAACAATAATCTGTGATTTTCACTTTTGATCATAGTCTGTAATCACGGGCAAATGACTATTGGAATGAGTAAGCTGCCATCTTGTACAGTTCTGTTCGCTGCATCAGATGCAGTTCAGAGAAGGTTTACTGGACTAATACCTGGAATGGGCAGACTGTCTAATGAGGAAAGGCCATTCAGACTAAGTTTGTATCCTCTGGAGTTTAGGAGAGTCAGAGGTGACTTAATTCAAACATAAAATCCTGAGGGTACATGGGTGGATGTTGAAAGGATGTTTCCTGTTGTGGGAAAACCTAGAACTCGGGGTCATTTAAAAATAAGGAGTCGCCCATTTAAGCTACAGATGTGGAAACATTTTTTTCTCTCTAGAGGGTTGTGAATCTTTTGGAATTCCCTTCCTTAAAAGGCAGTAGATGAAGAATCTCTAAATGCTTTTACAGCAGAAATAGATAGATTCTTGACTATCAAAGGGATGAAAGTTTATCTGGAGTGCAGGGCTGTGGGGTTGAGGTTAAAATCAGCTCAGCCATGATCTAATTGAATAGTGGAACTGGCTCTAAAGACCAAGTGGCCTAATCTTGTTTGTTTGTTTGTACGCTTATTTGGCAGAATTTGAAGAATTGATGTTTGACTTTATGGGATGGTATCTCTATTGGATACTGCTCCAAGGGCAGGAGAAAATCAGAGGGTAGCAGATGGAAAGCTGATCTGCTTCTCTAATTTAACATTTCAGAAGAGAAGGAGAAAAATCGGAAGGAAGAAACTATTCTTTTAAAATAATCTGTTGCTATATTGCTGTACTGCATGCTGTGTGAGCAGCACCTGACATCAATATAGCACTTTCTTACTGCAACAAACCTGTAACTGCATTTTAACTAAATAAGAAACGACAACGAGACCATGACTCACCTTCCACTGTATGAGAAAACATTTATCTTACAATTGGCACGGTCGATTGCCTAGAAGGCTGGGAGCGGGGGCGGCAAGGGGAGAGGGGTATGGATGGGGTTGATTACTATAAATGTATTCCTTCACTCCGGCAGTTTTTCAAAATGCTGTTAATAGTGTGCTTCAGATTCGACCTGTGAAGTTTTTTAAGATACATTATGTTCATCATAGATTCAACAGGATCTTACTGGCAGTGGTTACCATGAAGGACTTTCCTTCTCAACGTCATCCCTTGCCTGAGACGTGGTGACCCTCAGGTTAAACTCAGCACCAGACGTCCCTCTCTATTAGGAAAACAGCCCTATGGTCCTCTGGGTCTATGGCGACTTTTCTCATTGGTGTTTTGTGTTGTATTCTCGATTGAGGGAGATCAGGGTGTACGGGAGTCAACTCCTAACACTCACTCAGCTAAATCAACCATCTTAACCTTGATTAAAAGCAAAGTGCTGTGGACGTGGATGCTGGAGATCTGAAAGAAGGGTGATGCTAGTCCCGAGACTTTAACTCTGTTTTTCTCTCCATAGCTGCTACTGAGTTTCTCCAGAGCTTCCTGTTTCTTTATCCTGATGTTGGACCATTAATGGTTTATCATGGACTTGTGAGAGCAATCAGATCTCTGACAGCCAAGAAAGATACTCACCAGAAACTGTTAGTGATCCTTCTTTAAATTAATTAGTTACTATCCAATTATGTTATTCAGACCTAACTGCTTTTTCACCCTTGATACAGAGTGGCATAGCTATTGTGGTGAACCTAGTTGGAAAGAGTGTCAGAGGTGAGAAGTTCAACAATGTCAGAATCGATAATTGTCCTTCTTACTCTATTTGTGAAGGGCGAGGAGAAGGAACATTTGCTAGAGTGTCAAGTCTCTGACCACCTCATATTGGGCCTCTGTTTTCTGACCAGCAACTGCTTCCCAACAGTTATGTGCAGGAGATAGTAGGAACTGCAGATGCTGGAGAACTTTCCGAGACAACAAGGTGCAGGGCTGGATGAACACAGCAGGCCAAGCAGCATCATAGGAGCAGAGAGGCTATGTGCAGGAAGCTGTCACGCAGGCAAAGCCTGGGGATTAAAATAAACTGGACCTCCTGCAGCTAAGATCAGAAAGGTTTGCTATCTACCTTGCCCTACCTACCTTGCATTCCTGCCCAGTGTTGAAATCAGGGTTTCGAGGTCTATGTTCAAGGTGACTGTGTGGAGTTTTGTTCGCTTTCCCCGTGTCTGCGTAGGTTTCGTCCGGGTGCTCCGATTTCCTCCCACAGTCCAAAGATGTGCAGCTTAGGTGGATTGGCCAAGCTAAAATATCCGTAGTGTGCAGGGATGTGCAGGCTAGCCATTAGCCATGGGAAATGCAGGATTATAGGGATAGGGTGGGGGGCTCGGATGCTCATCGGAGGGTTGCTGCAGACTCGCTAGGCTGAATAGGGATTCTATGATTCTCTGACAAATTGGCAGTGAACTGAGTTGCCACATGAGCCTAGAATTCCCGTAGATGGAAATAGATACCAAAAGTACAGATTACTGTACATCTCCACATAATATCTCTGCTCCTTCTGAGGGTTTTAATGCAGTGGAAATCAGATGATTTCCTAGAACCAGATTTATGCACAACAGAAGTTGATACATGGAGAAGAGCAGATGTTGTATCTGTTTTACGAGACTTAATCAAGGGTTAGTTATGAACTCAAACCCTAAATGGTTTGTCAGTATTTTTGAAGTTCTCACAATATGTTACATCTTTCAGTATGCTAACTGCAGGCTTTTTGATGATCCTTATAATGTTTGTAATCTTGCAGTTCTAATTCATACGTTCTGCTAATTTAAGCATCATTTGTCCTTAGTGCATATTATAACCATTATGGAAGTTATGTTTCCCCACATAGTATTGAATCAGAGAACAGAAGGATAGATCATTCATACAATTCTGATAATTGACTTTTTTTTAACTAGTCACTGAGTTGTATTATCTTCTAACCTGGAAGAATATTTTACTGAAAGACAGTACAATGTTCATTCCTTTATAATATGCTGTGTGCAAAATCTCTAAGCTGTTACAAACCAAGATAGGGTTATATTGGGACTGAATGTCCATAGAAGTGTGATTCACTTTTCTGTTGACCCGGTTACTTACAATATTCAGATTTTGACTTCTGTCATTAGCTTTATTCATTATATGTCTTAACCGGTGAATTCCTTTGATATTTATCTAAATCTCTGGACGGGTCACACCATATGCTGGTGTATTACAGTTCATTCAGGAAAGCTGTGGCAGTATGGGTAGTGACGATAGACACAAAAGACCTCTGCAGAAGGCTGAGAAATGATACTGATGAATGGAAAAAAGACCATTTTCTAAAAATGAGTAGAACTCACACAGTCCAGTACGTGCGTTGCTTTCTGTCAGCTGTGAATATCATAGGTTGATTAACAAAAATCTTGTAATTTCTAAAGGCTGCTGTCTGTAGAGCTCATTACATTTTTTACAGCAGTCTAGATGACTGATGGGCTGACAGTTTTAAAAGCTGAAATGGTCCAACAATTCCGTCACTGTCTTTCCCTCCATCACACAGCTAACCAGGAATCTCTCCCACTCTTACTGCCGGCCATTGGCATGTGTT